AGAAATGGGCAATCGGAGATTTTGAGAACGAGATCGAGCGCATCACTGAACTGGTTTGAGATTTCACGATGTGAAGCCGAAAGCACTTGCGATGCATCGCGCATTACGCTGGACAGCTTCAGGCAGCATTCCTGGAAAATTCGGCATCGAAGCAGCATGCATTTACCTCACCTCTTCGATTAAAACGACGGTGAGGGTGAAAGGAGAAAAGAGGGAGAGGCAAATTTACATGCTGCTGGACATGAAAGATTTAATTTTTTTCTTCGGTTTATTCATATAAGATGACCGTTATTACAGAATCCTGAGCGTTTTTGTTCTATCAGTAAAAATTAATTTCCTTAAAATTTAAAAAAACGCAAAAAACCATATTCAGTTAACGTTAAATTTATGCTGGTCATGCCAGGGAGCCAAACCTGCCATCACCTCACAAACTCAAATATATTTCTCAAGTATGCCGAGGTCTCATGTACAACCACAAAAAAGTTTTAGCGCGAAAACCACTCGAAAGCCAGGAAATTTGGAGGTTAATTTTGGAGGGATGTTCACCGTCCAAGGTTTCAAATTCAGCTTTCACGTACCCAAAAGAGAGAGAGAGAGAGAGACATGTCGATTAGTTTTACCGACGAGTGGTTGCTGTTGTCAAGTGCTATTACTCGGGCTATTCTGGGCGCTTTTGCCTTTTGCAGACATTACTTACATAGCTGGTTTTGTCTTCCAACTCAAACTTTGTCCGTTTTTTTCAAATCAGTATACCTTTTGAATCGGTGTCCTGAATTGGCAAAAGTGGTAAATGACACACATACAGAGGGTGCCCCTTCCCACACACTCTAAAAAGCAGCAGGGTAATTTGAGAATGAGTAAGTCCTCTCTCATATTTGCTTTATTTATTCGTCAGAATTAATGGAAACGATGAAAGCGATATGTGCAAAGCGGAAGTCAAGCAATTTGCCTTGCACCCCCCGGGCCACTACTTTGCTGCATGTTTTGTTTGCTTAACACCAAAATTCTCCTATTTCCATCATCATCATGATCATGTGTGTAATGTGATATATGAAAATTAGAGAATGGGCAGATTAGAGGGATTCAGCCAGCACTATTCCGCAAAAGAGCCAAGTAAAGACAACTTCCGTGAGGGACTAGCTCATAACAAAAAAATTAATTTTCAAAAACTGAGAGTTGAGAGAGAAGAGCAATTTCGCAATTTATCATTTTTTTCCGATAAAGTGATAATTTTATCATAACAATTCTATCAATAATTCTATTATTTTTAATAATTCTGTTATTAAATTCACCTGAAATTAATAACAAAAAATTTTAAAAAATGCATATCGATAAAACTGAGTGAACAACAAATTAGCACTTTTTTTTCGACAAACTAATAATTCTACCATTGAATTTAGTTGAAAATTAACAAAAAATTTAAAAAATGCATATCGATAAAACTGAGTGAACAGCAAATTAGCACTTTTTTTTTCGACAAACTAATAATTCTACCAATAAGTTTATTTGAAAAATAATAATAAAAAGTTTAAAAAAGTGCCTACCCGATAAAGCTGAGTGAACAATAAAGTAGCATGAGCCGTTAAATGACCAGTTTGGTCAGCACTCAAATCGCCAAAGCTTGCAAGCCATTGATGCTCGCCCTAAAAAACGAATAATTTTATGAATATAATTAAAAAAAACCACCATAACTCTAAGCATGAAAATGAATCTTTACAGAAGCACACAAACCCGGAATATCAAGGCTACCCGCATTATCACTGTATATATTTCCCATGTTAGTGATGTTACTAGAATGCTCTCACTTGCCCGGCCCAGCAATACCAGTGCCTCACAGCTTCCGGTCTGAATACCTCTAAGTTCTGCTTATATATTACCTTCAAATGAACATCTTCAAGTCCGATTTTTTACATCAACCTGGTTGTTGCTTATATGCATATCCAACAAAAAAAGGCAAAAATTTTAAACTCATAAACTTTAGAAAAAAAAAAATGCTGAGCGGGTACTAAAATCATCCAAAGGGCTGGAAAAATTGGAGTTATGTGGAGTTATCTAGGTGGCTATGAACTCAGGAACGAACCTCCTCAGCATCAGATTCCTTAAATTTTCCTGATTTTTAGACACTGTAACGCCGTTTTTCTGCTTTTTCCCCTTGTTTAATTGTTTGTTTCTTGCCAAGGAAAAACACAACGATAAAAAACAGCAAATGATCAAAATATGAAAGTAAACAATAGCAAAATAATTAATATAATCAAAAATCTGGAAAAATTTTGACGAACCTGTGCTGAAGTGTGATGATTACATTGCAAGAATAGTGGAAGTTGCTGTGAACGTGAACATTCACCCAATGCCTCCGAATGACTACATCGAATGGATTCGGCTAGTGACGAGACATCGGCTGCCCTAGAAACCAACCACCAAATACCGCTTTCTGGGTATATCTATCAAATCGATCTCGAAAAACGATTTCGATTTTTTATCGAAAATTTGATCCAAACATGTCAATAAAATTTTGGGAAAGTTTCATGATTTCTAAGGTTTCCTAACTTTTTCATGATTCTAGTTTCCAAATTCTTCCATGATTCCTAAGGTTTCCTAATTTTTTCACGATTTTAGTTTCCTAATTTTTTCATGTTTTCAAAAGGAAAACGGATTTACCGCTGTTGCTCATCATCAACAGCAAATTCATCATCTTCCAGTTCTTCCTCACAGCAACTGTCTTCTTCAGAAATTGTTTCGCTTCGTGCTTCTTCCTGAAGCGGTGTTTTCTCGCTTGATACCTCCAACGAATCCGAAGCTGAAAAATGATGATTAGATACAGAAAAAAATTTGAATATTTTACAAAATTAAAGTTCAGTAGCATTTGGCTGAAAAGCAAATAACATTCTAAGGCGATCTGTTCAATAAATTAAAAACCATCCGGATTTTTTGCTAATTTTCGCTAAAAAATGAATGGTTGGAGCAGTGTACGCCAGTAAAAACAGCTGGGCTGGTCATGTGGCACAGATGACAGATAGCAGATGGACGAAGCGGATAATGGAATGGTACCCGTACAAGGTCAAGCGAACACTGAACAGGCCATCAGTGAGAGGTGGAGAGACCCCCTGGTACGTCTGTACGGTACCACGTGGACTCGGAGAGCGCAACAACGAGAAGAATGGAGAAATTGCCAGTTGCATCGATGGCGTGACAACAACAGACGTCGATGATACATACAGCTGCTCAAATATTCAAATAAGTATTCGATTAAGACTGCATACCGCCAGATGATGGACGATGACCACCAGTAATATCAATGCATTCGTCATCCTGATACAGTTCTTCGGCATCGATATCAACTCGGCTTATTGAACGTGGTCTCATCGTCGAAAGCCAGTTGAAACAGGAGTCGGTTGATTCCGAAACTGTATCATGCTCTGCCTCCAAAAAATCGAATTCCCTAGAAACAGCTCATTCTCAGGAAAAAAGGCACACAAGCATCGTACTTTTTTATCACTTTAACTGGATCGATGTTTCAAACAAGCGGAAAATTCATGAAAAATTACCGAAAAACCCTTGGAAACGAATCGGTGACTGACGGATCAGCAACCAGTGAGGAAGATGATTCAACATCACCGGTATGTGATGGAGGGATTTTTTCGGTTGATGAAGAATTCGAATTTGCTGGCTCGTACGAAACATCATGCAGCGATTGCGAAAATATCACCTGCAATAA